TATCCCGGAAGACAAGATAGTACCCACAGTACCCAATGGTCACTACATCCCGAGGTGTTCAAGTGGATAACCCAGATATGGCACACTCCAAACCTAGATCTATTCGCCACATGTCTCAACAACAAGGTACCAGTCTACGTCAGCCCGGTACCAGACCCACTAGCACTCCAAGTCGCTGCGCTCTCCATGAAATGGAATGGAATGTTTGCTTACGCATTTCCCCCATGGGCTCTCCTAGACAGAGTACTGAAGAAAATAGAGGAAACGGACCCTTGTCATAATCCTCATAGCCCCGGCTTGGCCAAAAAGGGCTTGGTTTCCGAGACTTCTACAACTCCTGGTAGAAGTACCTCTGAAACTCCCAGTACGTCACGACCTATTGAGACAACCAAGGACGGACATATTTTACGGCCGCCTCGACAACCTCCATCTTCACGCTTGGAAGTTATCTCGCATAAGATGCAAGCAGCCGGTTACTCTGAATCAGCTGCACGAAGAGTGGCTAGCTCATGGAGATCAGCTTCATCTGCATTATACAATAACAGATGGGACAAGTTCGTCGAATGGAGAAGAGGAAAACAGTTACATGGAGATATAACGATACCTATAGTAGCCGATTTCTTGCTCCATCTCAGAAACGACAAGAAATTACGACACGGCACTATCGAAGGATATAGATCAGCCCTGTCATCAGTATTACAACACGATGACCTTTCTATAGGTACCCATCCAGTACTAAATCGACTTATGAAGTCTTTTGCCCTGGAAGATATAAAAGTACCACTTTCTTTCCGTAAATGGGATCTATCTATAGTATTGTCAGCATTGATGAAAGCACCGTATGAACCCATGAGTAGTGCGGCATTACTATCAGTCTCCAAGAAAACTGCTTTTCTCTTAGCCATGGCTACGGCGGCTCGCGTGTCAGAACTACACGCTATTGACACCTCCACTGTAACTCATACCCAAGAATGGAAAGCAGTGTCGTTCAGATCGCTCCCTGAATTTATTGCCAAAAACCAGTCGTCAACCTTCGGCCCACTCGGACACAGGAAATACACAATACCAGCCCTAAGTAAAAGTGTGGACTTCCCGGATAGATTGCTTTGCCCCATAAGAGCCTTGAGATATTTTATCACAGCAACTCAACCCCACAAAAAGCAGAGAAAACGCCTATTTATCTCTTGCAAGCCCTCGTCAGAAAAGGACATCACAAAGGGCACTGTAGCAGGATGGCTAAAAACAGTTATCACAGATAGCTATAAAATGGCGCAAATCTCTACTCCGATTTGGGGTAGCTGCAGACCTCACGAAATCAGAGCACTGGCAACAAGCCTAGCCACATGGAATACTGCATCCATCGAACAAATCGTGGCCAGCTGCCAGTGGAAGTCCCACAACACTTTTTCAAACTTTTACTTACGAGACATACAGACCGATCTAAATGGACTATACACTCTGGGGCCCTTGGTGGCTGCCCAGGTGAAAGTCACCAAGTGCCCTGTTCCCTCCCTCTTCCAGGAAGGATTAAAAAAAATTAAAAAAATGTGTGTGTGTGTGTGTGTGTGTGTGTGAAGATTTCAGAAGTACCTCATGAACTCAGGGTAAGTTGTATTTTGTTACTGGATAGCGCTATTGAGTAAGTAAAACAGGGCAAATGACAACACTGAAATCAGAGATCGAAGGATTAAGTGATATACGGTAATCTACATGATAGGAACGTCAATGTACTACCACCGGAAGTGACGTCATAGGAGTCATCACACCAGAGAAACGTTAAGATACGTTAAATAATACTATCCAAAAGGGCATAACGGTAAACCACGTCATAAGTGATACGAGAGAATAGTGACACCGGAAGTAACGTCACAGATGACATCAACACCGGAAGTGACGTCACATATGACATCAACGCCGGAAGTGACGTCACAGATGACGTCATCACAGGAAGCGACGTCGCCAAATGTCTAAGTATCACAAGGGAATATACATATACCCGTCACATAACGCCTTGAAAATTCTATACGTCTAAGTCTTGTAAGTAGACTATTAGACACATCCGTTTTAAGACCCCTTTTGGCATTTTATCCTTGGTTTTACCACTTCACTAGCCAAATATCTATGGGATGCTAGATACCAGAACCCGCCGGTCCCTCTGGTGTATACTGGCACTGATGTGATAGAGGTGAGGTATTCACAAGAATTATCAAACAATAGTTATCATTGTGAATAAGTCTAAGAATACCACCTCTATCACATAAGGAATTAATCCCTCCCACCTCCCCAAATATCTGCATCTAGTTGATGAGAGTATGGGTTAAAAGAAGTGACTAGATTCCCGCCTTGCGCATGCGCAGAGGCGCCTCTGGCAAGGGATAGGGTTTCCCTCACAACTATGGATATGTTGGCAGTGTAGTGGACGTTTGTTGAAAATTTATAAAAAATTATAGTGTGGTTGGCAGCATAAACAGGAATTTATGGCACTGATGTGATAGAGATTGTATTCTTAGAATTATTCATAATGATAACTATTGTTTGATGTTTCAGGCCCATCGATTCAGGGCTACAAGTTGACCATAAAGACGCCTGAAACAGACTACGAATTGTGTGTAGAAATCAAGAATCACATTGACCATAACATTGACAACATTAACATCTCCCTGAAACCACACAACGCCAGTGTGGAGTCCACCAGTCTGGGATCTGTCATCATCAGGGTGGCAGTGGAGCCTGGCACAAAACTTGGACCAGTTTGGCTGAAAAAAGTCATCACAAAGATCCTGTCTGAAGACATCATTGCTAAACTGCCAAAAGGCACCCGGATGGAAGTCAACATCAGTGCATCTCTTCCACTCACACCTCTGGATTTGGATATATTCGGTAAATACACAGTAGCATTGTAATTGCTCTAATATCACCTTTCATTTCATGAGATACTCATGGTATTCAGCACAAATGTTCAGTTTGCACGTGAAAGTTATAATACAGTCATAATACTATATTCACGAACTATATTATTGGCATTATGGCATATAACGGTGCATTTTAGACTGCTATAAGCATCACTATGTTAAATGCTATATGTAGTTTAGCTTACAATTCTTACCATAATTACCATACTTATGTCGAATTGTTTGATAAGTGCTTTCTACATACTACATGGTAGCAAATAAATCTTACGCATACATTTATTTTTATTGAATTTAGGAGCAAGGAGAGTATAGGAGTTCTTTTTCGATAAAACAACCACCTTTTGGACAATATTTATTTTGAATTATGTATAAACATGCACTGTTAAAAAGATCCTTGAACATTTCTTTAGCTTTGAAAAAACAAATGAAGCTTGGGTGTTGTGTATTCGTAGCTGATGAGGTTCTTCCTGACTTGCAACATTCTAAACGCAAATCGAATTAGGTGAGGTGAAATGGGGTCTTACGTCGCGTCCAAGATTATTGCACTTATATAGCGACGTGCATGCACGTGTATGTGTGCGTGTGGCTGCTTGTACTAGCACACTGAGATACCATGCCGCAGGTTAACATGAATACCCCACTGACACATTATACTGACTCCGAGCCGACCAGTCCTCGTTTTAGCCCCTTAATGCCGAGCGCCAGACAGGGTAGCAACAAGTACCATAATTTAACGTCTCTTGGTATGACGCGGGCGGATGCTCTACCATTAGACCACGGAGGTGGTCGCAAATCGAATGAAAGACTGACAAAACGATAATGGAATAATTAACTCAGCTGAACCAAACTTGTGTGTCAGCATCGTTACCATTGATATGATTATAAAGTTGGATTTCAATTACCTGTTTTTCATATTTCTATTTTGTTTCAGAGCTTGAAGGTGAAAACGAAGCGACACATTGGATGACAGAATATATATCTGACATTCACAGGAAGGATGAAACTGGTCGCAGCATGCTCCACCAAGCGGCCAGAATAGGAAATAGGGCTGTTGTAATTTTCAGTCTAATATCAGGATGCGTTGTAAATGATCAGGATTGTCTAGGAAACACTCCTCTTCATTATGCAGTAATGTCAGGGGAAATGGGTGTGTCCTTGTCCAGACGGCTCGTAGAAGGAGGAGCCAGCATTGATGTGGTTAACAGGGATGGATGCACACCACTACATCTTGCTGTCACAGAGAGGAACCTAGAAATGGTTGAACTCTTTGCAAGAAAGTTTGGAGCAAAAGACAGCAATCCCACAGCCAATCAAAAGATGGAGATATCTTCCCTTATACATCTCTTGGTCAAACAAGGAGCAGATGTCAATGCCCTCAACAGACAAAGTCTCACGCCACTACAAGTGGCTGCTTCATCACAGAGGTTTGATGTTATTGTGGCATTATTGACCGAAGGCGCTGACGCGAATGTTGTTCAGGAAAATGGTCAAACTCTGTTGCACCATGTATTTGGGGTGAATAAGCCTAACTGGGAAATTGATTATGTCACTGGGGCATACAGACTGAGGAAACGCCTGAGAGTAAACCCTGTCACACAATCTTCAGTGTTGGACATACAAGACAGTAAAGGTAACACTCCACTTCAGAGTGCACTCAACTCTAACTTCACACAAGCTGCTATCATTCTATTGAATGCTGGGGCAAATGCAAATACCAAGAACGAGGAAATGGACACACCCATTCATACAGTTACTAGAAATACAAACATCGAGAATACTACCTCGGAACATGATGCAGTAGTGAAAATTATTGAATGCAGCAGAGATGTGAATGTTACAGATAAGCAAGGCAATACACCTCTGATGTTGGCAGTTGAGAAGAACAAAAACATCTCAACCCTGCTCCAAGCTGGTGCTGATGTCAATGCTCAAAATATACATGGTGACACATCGCTGATGATAGCTGTTAAACACAACAGTCGGATGATGGTAAAAACATCACTTGAGGCCGGATCTGAAGTGTGCACCAGCAATACACAAGGTGGTACAGCTGCAGACAGGGGGTGGGAGATTGCAGACAATGGAGCTGACGTCGATGCACCCAAAAACGAGAGAAGCAACACCGAACAACTGATTGACGCTGGAGCTGACGTCAATGTTCCAAACAAATATGGTAACACGCCTCTAATGATGGCTGTAGAGAAAGGATGGAATATCTCACCACTTCTCACAACTGGGGCAAATGTTAATTCACAAAATAAATTGGGTGAAACAGCGCTGCATCTTGTAAGTGATCACATGTATGAACATGCACCCATAAATGAGAGACAAAGCAACACCGAACAGCTGATAGCCGCTAGAGCTGACGTCAATGTTCAAGACAAAAAAGGTAACACGCCTCTGATGACGGCTGTAAAGAAAGGATGGAATATCTCACCACTACTCACAGCTGGGGCAAATGTTAATTCAAAAAATAGATTGGGTGAAACAGCGCTGCATCTTGTTGGTGATGAACACAAAGGTGACTGGTATGGATATGCACTCATCAAGGCGAGACAAAGCAACACTGAACAACTGATTGCCGCTGGAGCTGACGTCAATGTTCAAGACGAAGAGGGTAACACGCCTCTGATGATGGCTGCAATGGCAGGACGGAATATCTCACCACTTCTCACGGCTAGGGCAGATGTTACTTCGAAAAATGGATTGGGTAAAACAGCGCTGCATCTTGTTTGTGAACACCGATATCCCCTGTTTGGAGACTCAGTCACACACAAGAGAGTCACAGAACAACTGATAGCTGCTGGAGCTGACGTCAATGTTCAAGACAAAGATGGTAACACGCCTCTGATGATGGCTGTAAAGACAGAACGGAATATCTCACCACTACTCACAGCTGGAGCAAATGTTAATTCAAAAAATGGATTGGGTAAAACAGCGCTGCATCTTGTAAGTGATCACATGTATGAACATGCACTCATAAACGAGAGACAAAGCAACACCGAACAGCTGATAGCCGCTGGAGCTGACGTCAGTGCTCAAGACGAGGATGGTAACACGCCTCTTCACATTTGTGTAAAGAATAATGATTACCGTTCTGTCAAAGCCCTTTTGGGTGTTTTACCGTCTGATGTCAATATTAGAAATAGAAATGGAAAATCAGCGTTGGACCTCGCTGAAGAGGCTGAAGAGGAATTTTCAGGAAAAGACCACAATTATCGTTTGGTGCACCGGAATATCCTCATGATCCTCAAGGGGATAACACAGAAGCAATAATACGTGCAATCCTCCGCAGACATCCAGATCCCAATGCTGAAGACCACAGTGATAGAATCCCTTTGACAAATGCTAAAATGTAAGGCAACATATCTCTTGAAGAACTTCCGTTATCTTGAGGAATAACGTCAGAGGAGTCAGGGTTTGTCTCGTCGAGGCCAAGACCTTATTATTATTCATCATCAGAAAAGACGAAATTGAAAATGCAAGAAAAGACTAAAAACCCGTGGAAGGGAACGTTTGAAGGGAATATGGACGTCAATTAGACCAATGTCACCAAAAGGAACTTGATAATGTCTTGACAAGATAGTCCAATTGTCATTGTTGCAGACATTATGCATTTCAAGTGTGTGACATTTAGGACATGTTTCGTGGCAGATTCTGTTTGGTACCATGAATGTCCAGCATGCATAAAGTCATCAATGCTTCCACCTTCTATAAATATTTGAAAATAGTCAAATCGTACAATTGGCGACTGGACAAACATTCCCATACACAAAGAAGTAATGACCAGTACATGAATTAAAAGCAATGCAAATCCTTATCTGGACATCATAAGGTGATATTTGTCTCTTATTTCAATAACAGAAAAAGTATGTAATATACACATCATGATCGTGTATTATGACTGGATAATCACTATCATAACTTCGAACGTATGTTTGTAAAAAATATTTGTATTTTCAATGAAATTAAGTAATAATTACTCTGCTTACGAACGAGTATTGAGTAATTCCTATCTGTGTATAAGTTTCAAAATTATTTTAGCTTTTCAGACGTAGTACATTTTGATAATAGTATAGTGATGTATAAGGAAAAAAGGGATGGTCTTAATAGAAAGATAAGGGTTTAAACAATTAAGATGCTACCAGTTTGAGTCTTCAGTTTGAATGATTTTATATGTTTAATGTGGACATTGCACCTCTTGAGTTATTCAATTTTTGCAGTCAGGACATATACATGGTATACATAGAGAAGCTGTATCATGTTCAACCAAACTTTGATAATATTATGTTTAATTTTTTTACGTTTGTGTATACACGTACTCTTGTGGATTAGTTTTGTGCCTTATGCATATGCCTTTCTAACACAATATAATTTATTGATTATACTTAATTGATTGTATGTACATGGGTATAGCACACAATGTTTGGTACATACATATTTAAAGTTTGGCAAATCAGTGATCTATGATTTCTTGTGAGCAGTGTAGGTTGATACTACATTTGTCCTCAGTACTTTTCATAAGCATTCATAATTGTAGTTGCCAGAGCATTTAGTCTATTGGCTGGGTTAGTTTTATACGTCAGTAGATACTTGTAATGTATCTGAGCGTGTTATCTTTTGGTGAATTTTATCAGACGGAATATTTTGTTGATTGTACAAGATTTGCTGCTGGTAAAAACTTGACCATTTTCGTTTTTTGTGTTCGTTAGTTCAGACAAATAAACTCTTTGAGCTAATTCTATGACACTATAAATAGATGCATTGATAAAAGATGTTCCCTTTTCACAAATCTTTTTTTAATCCTCGTTTTACATTCTATTGTATTATTTCAGACCCGTTTGTTATCCTCTTGTCTTGCAATGAAATATCAGATATTTGTTTTCCTCAACCACCCATGTAAAATGAAAACATGGCGGTATTGCTTTAGTCAGCATGTTTGTGGTATTTTCTGTGTTGAGTCCTTTTGCTTAGGAATGTCTTAAATGTTGTTTATTGCTAATTCATTACAAACATAATTTGTTGATTGTGATTCTTATTGACTAAAGTTATAAACATGTCATAGACTACCCTACCGTTTAGTCTGACGGTTGCCATAGTAACCCATGTCTAGTCTACATGGTATGCTGATTTTGAGTTGGTTAGATATTCCAGTTCACATGTACGTTAACTTTGGGTCCGAGATTCTAAATGTACGGTTACTTTGGGTCCGAGATTCTAAATGTACGGTTACTTTGGGTCCGAGATTCTAAATGTACGGTTACTTTAGGTCCGAGATTCTAACCTAGTGTATTCGCTAGCTTCATGAATGTAATAATAATCTGTTCGTTACTACTACTGTTACTATTATTGATTCTGACCTATTTTGGCGACATTATTTCATATGCTTCTAAGTATATAATGTATACATTAAATTAGTTTTGGATTTCATGTTACAAGGATGTAACTTATAAAATGTACGCTAAAATGTTTTAATGAGGATAAGAGGGCAATAGGTGTGATCAGTCGATTGACAGCAACACAGTAGAAAACATTAACAACCGAAGGTCCCTTTTACAAGATTTTTCTTTCAAACGTTAATGTGCCTAAAACAAGTGTTTCACTGTATTAGTATGCGTATTTATGCTTTTTACTCTAGTCCAGCTTGCTACCACATATTGAGTCTAATTATCATATACACACACCTTACATATTCTGAAACCCAAGACAGCAGCTTTATTTCTTTCCAACTTTGTTCAATTTCATTTACAAATGAATATAGACATGATGACTCCATCGTACATCTATCTCAACTACATGAGATCTAGATACTATTCATTTGTTCATATATTCACAGTCCCGAGCCAGTCGAATTCGAGTTTAGAATTGGTCCTCAGGAACCTATGTTTGTCGTAAGGGCAACAAACATGGATAGTCGACCAGACTGAGTGACTTGATTGAATGCGTACCAAGGCCGTGTGGGATGTTGAACAGAATATTATCAACTGGTTTGTCTGTTCCAGGCTCGAGTATTTACCGACTGCCTTGATACATCTTTGTATATTTTGCTTAGTGTCACTACTAGCAACCTAAACTTGGCATTGTTTTACATACATGCTTATATAGTTTATGTATTACTATATGTCTGCCAACGTAGAGGAAATAAACATGGTTGAGGGTAATTCCCTGTTTTGCTTATCCATCACATTACAACTCCCTCTTGGTTGTGGTAGGCTTGTTAATGCGCATCACCTAGTGATGACGAGGCAGTCGCTGCTGCTCTTGATGCTGCACAGATTTCTACTCCACGTTGAGCCATGTTAAAACCATCTTCCCAAGACGAGGGTTAATTTACTTTAAAAGTCCAGTTTCCACCCTTGCCGAACTAGGCTGGAATTCCTGGGATCGATCGTTCGGTCGTTTTGTGTGTATTAAGAATCTTAAGTTTAAATGGTTAATCCTTATGTACCGAAACAATAAATTTCAAGGGTGACCTAACGTGACCCGAATATGTTTGGTCAAGTCACGTGGCCGACACTGACCCTGAATATTGACTAGTCACCATCACCTTTCACGTGACGAGTATTAATTTTGTCTGCTACGAAAACATCACTTCTGCGAGTGGCAATATACGCGACTGAAACGTAATTGTAATAAATCAGAAGGCTGTAAGGTAAAATCTAATTAATTTTTCGGTATCACAGAGCTTGATGATTAGTCTTAGCGAGGTCATTAAGCGAATACCCGTGGACTCAACCCCTGAGGTGATCTGTCCGAGCCGAGTCAGCTGCATACACATGTCAATATGTGATGTTGACTGCGCATAGAAATACACCAATCCACTGGATCTGCTTGTAGGTAATAAATTTCTGCTATGTGACTTGCACATGTGATTAAGTGGTGATGTTGTGTTGTGTTGTTTGTTTGTTGTTTTACGCCGCACATAGCAATATTCCAGCCATATGACGGTGATCTGTAAACGATCGAGTCTGGACCAGACAATCCAGTGGATACGATGACCTGCATCAACCAAAGCAGCGAGCTTGACCACCAGTCCCTTTAGTCGCCTCTTACAAGAACAGTCGCATACGACAAGCATTGGTTGTTGAAGACCTATTCTATCCCGGATCTTCACAGGTCTCAATTGATATGAGAAATGTATTGGAAAGCAGGGATATTATATTGAAAAACAAAATTAAAACACTTTCACAATTGTTGGTTTTGTTTGTGAGGCTTAGAACGTTTTGACCAGCCCTCGTATAAATGTGTCTGAGTGGGGTATACGGTTACCCTCGTGGAGTTATCATTGACAAACACATTTCACCACAGAACGTGTATTGTGTGCTGTGATTTCCATAATGTTACCTATTGGTTTATCAAGTACAATGAGTTCTCTCTCATTTCTCATGGTAAGGTTTGCCTACATGTACGTACAATCCTTTATAAACCTCTAGTGTAGTGACCTAATCATATTGTTTTAAGGGGCCTTCGTTTCGTAGAACATTCTCTCGGCAAGGACTTTCTACAGAATATCCCTCTGTCCAGGAATATTCTATTGAATGTCCCTTCGAGATATATTTTGCATTGTCTACATAAAACAGATGATAACTAAAGGAAATGTGCGATAAGATGTAAAATCAAAGTCAAATGTTACTATATATGTCAGTGGGATCGAAACCTTTGTATTTGTAACCCCTACCCTACAGAGGCACTGATATACTACACTTTTTAAATCCTTTTTTTAACCAGACTTATTTTAGGTCCGTTTCCTAAGGTTCATGGGTAGTGTGTTGGAAACATAAAATTATTTCAGATTTTCTCAAGGATTATAACGGCTAAAACACCAAACAAATATCCAGGTCTCGCACTAGTTATTTCCCTCATCCTTTCTTAACACCTAACCCGACCTGTCCGTGAGTTTTACCAAAGGGGTAAATGTTTATACCTCAGACCTCCAAACAAATAGATGTAAGCCTGAACTTTACACAAAATCCTTTATCCCTAATTCTACAAAATTATGGAATAATCTATCTGAAGAAATTTAACATTACGTTTAATCCCATCATTCTATCAAATCGGGCACTGTTGATTATGCTTCAGTTGATAACAGACCATCAAGGTATATTGTGTGTAATTATCATGTTTACGCCTTGACTTTCTTCTGTTACTTGATTATAAATAGGGAGAGATATTTTAAAAAAAGTATTGTTTACCGATCCCAATTTTTAGTCGAAATAAAATTATTTTTAAACCATTTTAACTTAACATGCATTAATTAAATATTATGTAACCGAGTTTTCTGTGGCATTATTCATTATATATACAAACAGATGACACCAAAGACGGCGTCTGTTTACTTGTGAATAAGCAAGATAGACACCCTGTAATAATTAACAATAGATAATATAATATATGCATTATTAAATTGTATTGCTCTTACATTGCTTACAACCAAATACTATTAGATGATATGAGAGAAACGGCTTATAAAACATATTGGATAAAATAGCTACACATGTGATGCACTTCTACGTGTATCTTAGATAAGAAAATGATATACAATGCACACATACCCTATGTGTGAGTGAGTGAGTTAATATTTAACGTCACATCGGCAATATTTCAGCCATATCGTGACGAGAATTAATACATTAATAACATATAAGTATATATACTTTATAAAAAACCTGTCAGCAAAGGACAGTACAATAACTAGAATATCACAGAGTGTATGAAAACTAGTTGAGGAACATATAAAAGCAGAAAGAATTAACAACACAATATAAAAATGGGCTAGAGATCGTCAGTAACTAAAGGGAGATCACCATACCAGGGACAAAGGGGACTTACAGTGCCTTTGCTTCCTGCATGCGCCCTGGCTGGATTTATATCATCCCTTCAGTCACTGGCGATAGTTTACCAGTTAAGCCTTAGATTAAAATGACAAAAATACTACGTTTTAAAATTCTGGTATGCATAACAATACATTGAATGATGTGGGACTGACATACCCTCTTAGGGGGACAATAATTTTACGCTACTTCAACCCCCTTCGAGGGTACAGCCACTAACAATCTAAGTTATATATTAGCACTACCAATATATAAAAACATATTAGGTACATCAAAATTTATGTATTAAATCAATTTCCTTTAAAAAGTGCAATACTAAATGAGAATTAACTTGACTAAAAAGGTCCTTGACTGTTTTGACACTATAATATTTATCCCTTGTGATGGCAAAATCAATACAATCAAGCAGAACATGCTTGACTGTGATTCTTTCATCACAAGGGATGCAAAACGGAGGATCCTCACCATTTAAAAGATACTCATGTGTATATCTTGAATGGCCAATACGACATCGTCGCATAATGACCTCTTCAAATCTGGACTGACAGCCCAAGTAGGTGTAACCGATATTTGGTTTAATTTCATGTAATTAATTGATACCTACTTGGGCGTCCCAATTCTGTTGCATAAGATCTCTGATGTAAGATCGAATCATGGGTTTAAAATCAGTGTATGGGATCAGAAATGGTGGCACAGATTTGTTGAGTGCTGCTTTTGCAGCAGCATCGGCCATTGTGTTACCAATGATACCAACATGGCTTGGTAGCCAACAAAAGACGATGTCATATTGGCCAGTAGCAAGATCATTAAATAATTCGAGAATTTCTATTAAAAGTGGATGTTTAGGGGACATATTTTTAATCGCCTGAAGGCATGAAAGAGAATCTGAAAACAGTATGAATTGTTTATGTTTAGCTTGATTACTGATATATTTAAGTGCTGTAAAAATGGCGTTTGCTTCTGCAGTGAATATGGAACTGTTATCAGGTAAACGTGAAGATATTGTTCTGGATCCAATGACGGTGGCACTAGCAACTGCGCCACCATCCTTGGATCCATCTGTAAAGATAGATTTATAAGTGTCATAATTGTTTCTTAATTGACTGTATTCTTGTTGGTAAATTAATCCATTAGTGTCTGATTTCTTTAGTTTTGTTAATGTAAGATCTACCTCTGGCTTTACCATTTGCCAAGGAGGAGATGAGAAAAGTTTAGTAGGAGCTATATCTTGGAGTTGAATATTAGAAGCTGATACTGCAGATTTTATTCTGATTCCGAATGGTGGAGTAAGTGTTGATTTCTTATTGTAAAGATCCTCGTAGAGAGGATGGAATATGCATACAAAAGCTGGATTGGACTGATTAGAATATAATTTAGTGATGTATTGTAAAGATAATTTTAGAGGGCGTTGTTTAAGAGAAGGCTCATCTGCTTCTATATAAAGACTGTGAATGGGAGACGTTCTGAAGGCTCCAAGGCAAAGCCTCAGGCCTTGATGATGGATGGTATCAAGTTTTATCAAATTACTTTTACAGGCCCCACCATAGACGATGGAGCCATAATCAAGTTTTGAACGGATCAGTGACCTGTATAAGTGTAAGAGGGTTGTTTGATCCCCTCCCCACTTTGAATTAGAAACAACTTTCAATAGATCGAGTGCCTTCAGGCATTTAGCTTTAAGGTATTTAATATGTGGGAGGAAAGTTAAGTGATTATCAAAAATAAGTCCCAAGAACTTGGCCTCCTTAACAACTTTGATAGGGGTGCCATTCAGAAATAGTTCAGGGTCCTTATGCGGTTTATATTTTCGGCAGAAATGTATGCAATTAGTTTTTGATTTGGAAAATTTAAACCCGTTTTCTAGACACCACTTGTTAATTTTATTTAGACATAATTGTAATTGCCTTTCAATTGTGCGCATATTTTTACCACGACAAGATAGATTAAAATCATCCACAAAAAGGGATCCATCAACTGAATCATTTAAAACTTTTGACAAACTGTTAATTTTTATACTGAATAAAGTGACAGACAAAATACTGCCTTGTGGGACACCCTGATCCTGATGATAATGATCAGACAGGGTTGACCCACTGGGACTTGAAATTGCCTGTCTGTTAAAAACTGGGATATAAAATGAGGCAGACGGCCTCTTAATCCAAAATCATGAAGATCTTTTAAAATACCATGTTTCCATGTTGTATCGTAAGCTTTTTCTAAATCGAAAAAGATCGATACAGCATGTTGTCTATTTACAATGGAATTTTTAATGAACGATTCTAAACGCACTAAATGATCGATAGTACTTCTGTTTTTCCGGAAACCACATT